TTCTATGGTGCCTCCTTGGCCAAAGCTCAGCCATTTATGCTCTTTGTGAAAATCTGTTTGGATGGACTTAGTGTAGGATATGTCAGATAGCAATAATAGTAAGACAAAAGCTATTCGGAATAATATTGCATATGCTGATAAAGCCTTTAACATTTTGTGAGCTACATCTTGGTTGTGAATTCAAATTTCTGCTGCAGTGCAAATATTAAATGAAGATGGTGCTAACATTATAACCAAAACTGGACTGGATACAAACTATAATGTTATGGGTAAAGTGTATCAGATAGTGGAAAAGGTCCTTGTATGGCATGAATTACCATGTAATGTCAGTGGAGGTGTGGTTTACCCAAATAGCTGCCTTTTGGCCATTATGTTGCTGTCTTGCCAAGAAGTCATTGTATGGGCTGTTACCTCTTAGAATGGATTCGCAAACCAGAGAAATTCAAATGGTCACCTAATCAATACTCTTAAAAGGATCAGCAATTGCTACAATTTTTAAAAAAGGAAACAATTCATTGAGAAAAAAAAATATTTTCTTTAAAATCCCTAATATTCCTCATCTCCTAATTCAAATATGTGCTTGTTTGTCCTTTGCTTTGTTTGTTCTCTGGTGACTCTTTCCTTTATTTTCCTTATTGTTCATGGGTTTGGAAAAGATTTTTCAGATATTCTTGGGCTTCTGATTGATCAAAAGTGAAGGAGCACTGGGAGATGACTGAGAGCTGAATTTGCTACATAATTTTGGAAGGAACAAAGTCTTTGTGCTGATTTCAGCTGAGTTTTGGGAACGTGGGAGGGAAGTAGGAGGGGAGGGAGGTAGGGAGAGAGGAAGGGAATTAAAAACAAGGAGAGAGCAAATCATGAAGATTTTACCAAAGCCAACACTACAGCAGTGATTCCTCAGACTTCTCTACTTCATAATGAAGTGACAATGAACTTTAAAAGGAGGAGGTGGCCTTTCCCTCCTGCTGTTTTGGAGGTGAAAGCTGAGCCTTTTGTCTACTTGAATACATGCTTATTTCCTTGGGAATAACAGCATTCGAAATACATATTTTTTGGCAACTCAAAGTTTGTTTATGTTTTTAACAAGCTATTGTTTATATTTTTAACAAGATAATGGAGAATTACACAGTGCAACGTGTATCTGTCAACCAATAAATTCACCTATTAAGGGCTATGAGGCATGAAGCTTTGCCCGTTCATGCCTAAGGTGTGTATTTACAGGCTGGCAGACACAGACTGAGGTGTGGTGCTGTTGCTTATTCAGGGCAATTTGAAAAGGTGCTGTCTTGATTTTCTTACGGTAGCGGTGAAACCCCTGAGAGGGAATCAGGAGGATGGGAAAGGAAAAGTGCAGTCTAGAGTGAAGCACTCTGAGACAACCCATGACTTCATATGAACTGGTCACCCTCCGAGTCATTATTTTGGGCAGGAATACAGCAAAAATGATGTTGTGGTGTAAGCTTTACTCTCCTCCAACATGTAGAAGTGAGCTTATGTCTCTATCATAAAAAATGAACACATAAAATATAGAACACATACATAAAAATGTAAACCCCACGGATTCAGACTGAAAATGCAGGAACTGTAAGGATCTCACATCAATTTATGATGCTGCTTATCTTACTTATGAATTTAAAGGATCTTCCTGTTCCAATAAGATGGAACTCATTTTTAACATAGAAGAATCCCATGTCCTATTTGACTTTAAATACTTCATAGGTACTGTTTCTTTTTCATATGCTGGATGCTCTGCCCTCTCTTTGTCAAGCATCCCTTAGCTCTAAAAATGCTTCCAGCAAAATTATTTTCTTCCCTCCAAGTGGTCTATGGACACCTTTCAAATTCTGGTCTTTTAAGTTGCTCTCCATGGGATGGCTGCCCTCTCCTTGAGATCTCATGAGAAACAGGATTTCTGAAGGATATCATGGTGGTATCTGTACTGGATGGGGACAAGAGCTTTATCAGAACAGGGCAGCTGTCACCAACAGTGCTTCTATTTGGTGCAGAAGAGACCTCAGTGGAAATACAGTTCTTAGAATGCAAGGTGTAAGAACAGCTGTAAAGGTAACTGTCAAGTAGCTGGTTGCTGGTTAGTTTTCATGAAGGTTGCAAGGAAAAGGAGTGGTGCCTCTTGGCACGGAATGAGTAAGGAAACTGAAAAAAATGTTATTTTGGGGAGGGAGAGCTCACAACAATGCCAATGTAATAACAAAACCTCTACGATGAATCCTGGTGAAGTTCCGCTTTGCCTTTTGTAAAACTAGAGAGAACTGATGGTACAAAAACAAGTGCTTGTTGAGGTTGCTGTTGTATGGAACTGGCGTGTGATATTTTTCTATCAGCCTCTCTTAACTGTCATCAGAGTGCAATTTCTCTAGAGTCACTGTGGGATGCAACAGATTTCTTGGAAAAGAAGGCTGTGTTGACACCCACAGGCTAGTAATGTTTTCACAAGAAGGAACATGACTTTACATTTGACTCTCTTGAAAAGAGATTAGCAACACTATGATTTACGAGAATTGCCAGAGTTTGAGATTGTTTTTTTTTCCCCCCTCTCTGAATCTAAACTCCAGCAGGTAGGTGTTAAGTGAGTGAAGCATTTCTGGCAAGATTTATGTGCCCATACATAGGAGTGAAATCTGACAGTCTAAAGGAAGAGGAGCAACTGACAAATACAGGGGGTGGAAAAAGGCAGTTTGGCTTGGACTTTTTCTTTCTTGTTGCTCTGCAGTCAAAACCCTCTGAGACTCTTCAGTCTTGGGTTGAAAATTACATTTGCACAGACATTCTCCTTCTCTGTCCTTTTGTTCTAGCAATTGACATGAGTCCACAGCGTGCATGTAGATAGCAAGCATAGCCAAGTTTAAAACTTCCTGAAAGAATATATCTTCCAGAAAGAGATGACAAGCATTTCCCCCTAGAAACAAGATTCCTTCAATGATAATGCTCTCTTAGGAGAAAGATCTCCTTTCTCATTACGGAATCTCACAGTTAAGTAAGCAGTGTCAGGAAGAAGTGTGTCCTCATACAGTACAGTACTTGCAGTCTAAATAACAGACTAAGATTTTGCTCTCCAGATAGAAGTAAAACAAGCTTGGTTGCTTTGATCTAATGTGTGCCTACAGCCATGCTGCATAACACACACTTGCTCTTGTAGGACCATGGTAACAGACAGATCTAGGGCTTCCTGGTTGATAGTTGGGAGGGAACCTGTAAGTTGCTAGATGCCCAGCAAAAGCCAAGGAATGAGACTCAACAGTTGGTGAGTAATAAATTGCAAAACGAAAATGGGTGGGAATATTTCCATTAGTCCCATGGTTGCTACCGAGCGATAATGTAGGAACACAAAACAAGAATATAGTTCAGTTGACAAGGATAGTCTGCTTCTTGCACTAAGGCACATTTTCAAAGGGGCAGAAATATTAATGCAGTGTAAATTATAAAATACATTTCAAGTTATCAGAATTTGAGTTTAAATAAATGTCTCATGGGACAGCTGAAAAACGTTTGTGAAGAAGTCATTGGATCAGGAAAAAAAAGCACCATTCTTGCCAAATGAGTGTCCTCTTCAGGCGATTAAAAAAACATAGACAGATTGGTAATGAACCAATTTCTGTTTCTGTAGAACATGAAAATGGGCAACTGTGCCCTTTCTCTAGCAACTATGGAATGACCAACAGCCATGGAAACCTATCAACTCATTCCTAAAAAATATATTAAATATATGACATTTCAGAGAAAACTTTGTGATTGAAGTGGCATCAGTTTTGAAAAAGGTGCATCACCAAGAAATTTCTCACTAGCTCTAAGAAAAATACACTGGCTACTGCCTACTTCTAAGGCAAGAAGTATGGTCTAGTGCTTTGGAAAGCAACATTGGCAAACACAGTAATTACAGCTGGTCTCAAATCTTTTGAATTCTCCCATTTTGTGAAAACTTTCAGCATATAAAACATATCCTGCTGGTATGTGGAAAGAAACTAGTACCTTTCAAAGTCTGTCAGGAAAGCAAGGGAAAGAGAACGTGTTTCCTGAACCTAGGAGATAGGCAGTAAGATGAACTGAAGATGCTATCAGGATCAGGTGTTTGCATCACTGACCAAATCGGCTTATCTAAAAGCAACATCCATGACGGGTCATGAACTTGCTCCATCCTAAAATATCATAGTTCTTATTGCACTGTGTAGGAACCAGATTCAGATCCCTGTTTTGCCAAAAAGTCTAATTCTTCTGTATCAGTGATCTAACAACTAGTGTTTTGACTAATATGAGCCATTCTCTTATTTTGCTTTTAATCAGAAATTCTACTCTGGATGTCAGCAATCTTTCTAATGAAAGTCTAAGCAAAACTGGCGTGTTTCTGAAAGAGATGTATGTTTCAACAAATAAACATCTTCCAATAAAAAAAAAATGTATCACTGGAAAATTCCCAGCTAGCTGTACTGATGAGTAAAGTTTTGCTTTACAGATGGAGTTAATAATAGTTTATAAGCTAAAGTGAAAAGGATTTTGGGTGAGCTTCCCAAAGAGGAAGTGAGTCAGTGTCTCGTCAGGAAAATGCTCCAGATAGGCAGGGTTGGAAAAGTTACAAAACAACCCCCAACTGTGTGGAGTCACAGGGAGTGGACAAGGGATTATTGCATCCCAGATTGCAGAAAGACTCTAATTAGTAGGGGATTTAGCGTGCCCCTCAGCCAATATATCTTAAGGTATGGTCTTCTCATCTAAACTAAGAGCAATTAAACTGAGTCATCACAGGGAAGGCGTAATAGCTAAGGAAGAAGCAGGTGTTATAGATGGGTGGGTGATTCAGTGGATGGTGTTATTCCTACTGAGTCAATGCTGAACCAGTTTGTAAGCAGGAAGCTGGGGACACTGTGACTCCAAGTTCTGCTTTCCAAATTCAGTGGCATTTGAGAAATCTGCAGTTCCCTTAGTATGTTTTCCACAGAGTTAGCTACCTTAACTTGTTTGTGCAGAACTTTTTGAAAAGGAAACACAGAATTTTTTAAAAGTCAACTGCAATGAGGTGAGTCCAGGTGATTTTTGAATACAGACTGATATGTCTATGCTATGGAGGTATTTTTGGAAAACTACCTCGGTATTTTTGTAATTCTCTTCAAAGCCCTCCCCATAGTTCTCTGGAGCTCCAGTTTGGGCCATTACCCAAAAGCTCTTCTGATCAAGACCTACATATGACTGTTCTCCAGAACACCAAGGATGATGATTACGGTCAGAAGATTTACTTAAATGACAATGCAAGCAAGTTCCCCATGGACATTGTGTCCTTTGAGGTTCCAGTGCTGTTGTCTGGGAGAAAGATAGACCGACTGCATCTTACCTGGCTTGCTTAATTCATTGCAAAAATAGGAAAAAAAATGTACAGAATGTATCCTGCAATATCCTATAACAAAATTATGTGATTACAAGGACAATCTTACTTGCCTTTGATGTTCTGAAGCTCTTCTTGCTCATTCTCTCTCTCTATATATATACATACACATGAGCAAGTACCTTTTAATCTGTGATTTTAACCTATGATTTTACCGTTTGGGTAGATCGTTCCTCAAGGTCTTGTTAGAATCTGGAACAGTACATTACTATTTTGGAAATAGGTTTGCTTTTCCTTCTACTCTTTAGTAATTCAACACCTAGAGCCCCTTCTTTTTCTTGTTATTAAATCACTTTCTTACTTGGTATCTTGCAATGTTATAGTGTTTTTCTTCCAAACAAGAGGAAAAATGACAATATTGTTTCTAAGTCACGTGAAAGGACCCACAAGCTCTGGTCCAGATAGTGCTTGAGAGAGTAGCAGATACTTATGTGTATCTTTGCAATAGGAGTAAATAGACCTAAGATTGGCAGAGGTAGTTTTGCATTTTATGGTGCATTTGGTGCACTTTCTGAGGATATTACACTTCCTGGGGACTCACATTTTACATTGAATAGGTAACCACTTCAAGCTGAGTTAAACTAGATACCTTTCCTTAACTCATGCTTGACATTTCCACTTAGTGTTTTCCACATGCTTTATTGATGTTTTATTGCTCTTGGGCTTTATCTTCATTCATTTCTCCTCCGCCGCCTCTTCTCCCTTCACTAAGGGTCTGAGTGCCCACATTAGCTTTGTGGAGTAAAATTCAGAGAACAGATTGCAGATGGTGGCGCATAATTTTTGAAGTGCCTTAATGACATGCACATTTTTTTTCCTAAATAGCTATTTTTGTTGTTAAAGGATTTAATTTTGTTTTGATTAAGAACAAAATCATCAGAACTATGTTATTTGGGGAAAGTTCTCAGTGCAAGATAAGAGGGGAAATTTTTATATTATATTTCATTTATATTTCATTTAAAAGGTATATTTTTTTTAAAACATAGTTTTACAAGTAGAAATACTATATGCATCATAAGGTAAGCTGACCTGACCTGACCTGACCTGACCTGAATGAATTTATCTTAACACCTTTTTGCATTAGCTTTGTGTAGATGACTTGTTTGTCATAGAGAAAGTTTGTGTCAGAGCCTGAAGATGAACTAATTCTTCTTGAAAGCTTGGCTGATGCATTAGCCATGGCACCTAACTCACAAGAAGAAGTAGCCACATCTAAGGAAAACTGAGTCCCCACTGGAGGAAAATATGTATTATGAGTACAGTTAGAGAGGTGAGACCATTGGGATCTAGAGTGTCCTCAGTGTGGCATTTACTTCTGGCTTCATCATTTCACTCTTTTTAAAATAAGGATATGACCACATATTTATTTCTAGAGAAGAACTGAAAAAACAAGTTGACCATGTTAAAAGGAATTAAATTCAGTTATGTCTTCACATTCTCTTTAATGGAAAATGTTTTGAGATGCAAGTTGAAACTCTGGATGGCATGTCAACCCTTTAATACCATGAGTTCTTATCAAACAAGTTTGGAGTTGAATGACATGGCTTGAATTTGTCTTAATCATTATTCACAGAACAAACTGAAGAGTAACAGCATTTATCTATTTTTTTTTCCTCGTCCACAGTGAAGGTTTTCCACAGTAAAAACAATGAATGCAATCTTTGCTTTTAGAAAGCTGTTTCACTGTAAAAGTATTCCAGACCTGTTTCCTAGTAATAATGTGAGAGTTAGCAGCTCTGCAAAAAACAGTGAGAATTCAGTCCCAGTTCTCTCTACTGATCTGGCAGGGGCAGCAGAGTTGTGATTGTGAATCATTCAGGAAAACAAATTCTAATAATTGCAAAATCATTATGTTTAATCCTTGTAGAAAGCTCCGGATCTTCTGTTTTTCTTTCAAAATTATTTTTTGTATTTATCTTTTTAATAAAGGTCAGGAACGAAAATATTCAGGAAAAAAATGAAGAAGAAAAAAGAAATCTTCATTATTGTCGTATACTGTATTCCGGTCAGCCAGACTTGACAACCTGCTTTTTTGTGTCTTAGTGTAAGAATATCCTGAATCACTAAAAATAATCCTGGGAAGGTCAGAAGAAAGTTAATAAGGCACTGATGAACAACAACAACAACAACAAATACAGAAGAAGTAGGTTGATCATCACTGTAGTTTTTATTTTGACTCACAGTGAAGTGAACAGTAAATAATAACCTTATGAACAGTCATAGCCTGTAGCAAAACATCATACAAATTCTCCTTCACCACAATATTAACAGCAGGGAGCAGCTTTGAGTTTTGTATTTTTAATGCCCAGGAAAGTGGGGCCCTGACCCTAAGCTGTAGCTCCTTCATGCTCTCACACAAGGCACATACAGAAAGCTGTCTTCTAAACAGATAACACTGTCAGGACCATTGAGAAAAAAATGTCCTCAAAAGTGGGCACTCTCCCTTGTTCCTGTCCCCAGGGCTTTACTCCATAACCTTTTCATTTGACTTGGATTCCTTGTAGAGTTTCAGATAAGCAGTTCACATTTCCCAAGCCCTAAAGCAGCGCCTTGTGGGCAGCAGGGGAATTTCAGCTATGGATTTCCAGAAAAGAGGTTTAGCTCTTGGGATCACATCAGCAATAGACACCTCTCTTTTGGATACCGTGACCCCTATTTTGGATACCATGCTCTTTTCAGGAGTGATGCGTCTAGGTCAGGTGTTCTCTTCAAAATGAATGTGACAACCTGGGGAGTGTTGAGAGAGGATGCACAAAAACACTTGGATGTGCATAAAATAGCTTCACAAAGACAGATTTTGAAGCTTCATTTGTTCTGCTTCTTGATGAACTCAGCAGATGGCTCAGCCTTAGTTTATTAGACCTTTTGAAGAAGAAAGGTATTTGGTATTAAAGGGTTTTGCAAGTAAGACTTCATTTTTTATCTCAAGAAACATTTTTACTTTCACGAGAACCTATTTGGCTCAGGAGAGTTCATTTACTCAAAAAAGAACAGTAATTCCCTTAGGAATATTAAAGGAATGAGTGGATGAAATCCTGCAGATCATGTTATGCAGAAGGTTACAGCAGGTGATCTTGATGGTACTCCTAGCCTTGAAACTTGACTGTAATGATGGGATTTCAGAGATGCTTATAAAATCCTACCTCAGCATTCACCGAGAGTGTCTGAAACAAATGCCGGGCTGTCCCATGAATTCAAATTTGTCTATAAAATTTTAAACTGAGCATGAAGGCAAATGACATTGTAGCAGAGTATGTGAGGGATGGCTGCTTATATGTCACAGATATTTAATATCTTTGCAAGTGATTGTGAACCAAAGATAAACACACTTAATCACAGTGTGCCACACTCAGAGAGAAGGCAAATATTATTGTAAAATAACATGTCATTTGATGGCAGAAAATAGCCCTCCTGTACTGCTTTCAAAGGTTATTCTCAAAACTTGCATTCAGAATGTTATAAAGAATTTAAGGGTCAAGCAATGTTGTTCTAAAACTATTTTTGAGATAGAGATTAAGGAGTTTTTTTGAAGATTTTTATAGAATGTAGTCACTTGTGGTAGGAGGGGGCTAGGAATGGTGATTCAAAAGATCTTTCCCTGTCCAATGTTTTCAAAATACAAAAATCAAGTTTTTATTTTTATTTTTTTTAAAGGTTGTCAGGCAGGGAGCAGCCAATAAATATATAAATATGCCACAATCAAACCTTTTAGAAGAGTTGTAGCTCTCTGTGCTGTTTTCAGTTATAACTCATATGCTGAGAAACACTGATTTCACAGTGCCCCCTAGTTGGAAGGAACTCAGAAGGACAGATCTGTCAGCAGAACACTTCCCTCACCCCTCTGCTACCTGCTGGCTGCTTGCTGAATGTTGTACGAGCACTGCTTGTTATCACTAGATCAGCACTATATGCCTGCACCAAAATACATATCGTTAAATGGGTGCTTCAGCTGGATTGTCAGTGGTCCATCCATGGTCATGTTATGGACTACTGCTGCTTCCAGGTCTTTTATCAATGGAAAATGAAAACATAGGCACTAAAATAGAATAATATTTTAAAATGAAGTCTCAGAATACCTTACAAAGTATTTTCCATAACTGCCATAGTTAAGAATTTCCACTTTGCGACCATGAAGATATCTGAAAGCCTGGAAACCTGAAAATACTTGGTTTGAAAACAGTTTCCAACAGCAAAATTCCCCTCAGTTTCAATCAGCTCTACAGAGCAACACCACTGGGTCACAAGGGGAAAGGAGAAGAGATATTACCCATCAGAAGAGAGCCTGACCTTATGCTTCTGTCTTGGCTCTCACTCATATTCTGTAGTTTAAATCTGAGGATTTTTGCACATGAAGGACAGGCAGGTGTTCACTGCAATTTCCCAACCCACTCTCCCACCCCTGTTGCTCTGTATTCATTAATCCGCATGCTCACTGATGGCTACACGTCTTATTATTGCTATTAATCTCAGTAGAAGATTCAACATTCAGGATCATGTCAGTTTGTTTACAGGAGGATGCTGGCTTGATGCAGATATTCCGGGACAAATGTTTGTTTGGGGTGATCCTGTTTGTTTATCCTGTGTTTTTTCTCTTTCAGGACTTGGTGGGAACAAACAGCAAGTTCGTTTCCTCGTTCACAATGTTGGTTGGACTTTTCATTTAAGTTCTCTGCCCCCAAAAAATTTGTTTCCTGATTTCCTCTCAGGCATACACTTTTTTTTTTTTTTTTTTACTTGCTCCTCCTTTCCTCTCGTTGACTGATTTTTAATAGAGCTATAGCCAAAGAGCACCCCAATGCCTTGTCTTGCAACACTGCTCTGAGGAAATCCCTATGGTCACATCTCAAAGTCTGTGGCCAGGCCAGTAGCCTGGATTGTGGTTTCCGTTGTTAAAGCTATCAAGGGAGAGGTGTGGTGAACAAACAAGAGAAGGAACATGGTTTTCTTTCTTACCTTGGAGGTGCTTAGTCTGTCTTTTACCAGCTCTTTGATGTAAGCAGTTACTACCAGCCTGTATTATGAGAGCACATGATGCTCTCACATATTGCCTAATCTTTGTCTAACATCTATGTACTTTTCAGATACAAAGACCATTGGTCAAAATGGAGGGAAGAATGTCCTATTACCATACAACATTAGAATTTTATTTTATATTAGACAGTTTCAGATGGATATGCTAG